GATCTCGGCTCACCGCAACCTCCGCCTCCTGGGTTCAGGCAATTCTCCTGCCTCAGCCTCCTGAGTAGCTGGGATTACAGGCACGCGCCACCATGCCCAGCTAATTTTTTGTAGCTTTAGTAGAGACGGGGTTTCACCGTGTTGACCAGGATGGTCTCGATCTCTTGACCTCGTGATCCACCCGCCTCAGCCTCCCAAAGTGCTGGGATTACAGGCTTGAGAGCATTATTTCTAATACTTGACAGAAAAGTTGTATGGACAGGGAAGGAACCTGAATTTGCTTCTGTGAGTTTGTGTAAGAAAATTTCAGCATCCTGTCATCAACCTTTCTGGACCTCTTTCCCTCTTCTGTAAGGCCTAGTTTACTTTGATTTAGGAAGAATTCTATAATATCCAGAATCATGTCTTCTGTTTTATTGGTAATGCCTAGCCAGCCTGGCCAACATGGCAAAACCTTGTCTCTACTAAAAATACAAAAATTAGCTAGGCATGGTAGCACACGCCTATAATCCCAGCTACTCAGGAGGCTGAGGCATGAGAATTGCTTGAACCCAGGAGATGGAGGTTGCAGTGAGCAGAGATCATGCCACCGCACTCCAGCCTGGGTGACAGAACAAGACCCTGTCTCCAAAAAAAAGAAAAAAGTAATGCCTAGGACATTACTCAGATTGATTTCAATAATAGCTGCCTTTGAGTACGGGAACTATGTGCTGTAATTGTCATAATGTTATCTCCTTCTTCTAAAGAACTTCATGGGGTAATGGATGATATGTCAATTTTACAATAAGCACATAGAATTAACTCCCAAGTAATCTGCACAAATCCTGACAGTTATAAGTGTTGGAGCCAGGACATGAAGCTAGCTGTCTCTGAATCTGAAGCCTACCCCTTTCTCTAGTATTTAAGGCCCTAGTTTCTTAAACAAGGCTGGTAGTTTGCAGTTTCTTCCCTCCACAAAAAACTTAAGCTAGCCCTTCAGTATTTACCAGGCTCACACTCAACACCTGAAAATGATGTATCTGGCCCACATTCTTTGACACACCACCACTCCTCACATACACCAGCCTTATGGAATGCTTTTAACAAGATTGTACAAAAATGAATAAACTCATTGTTTATAAGAATTCTGGAAATAAATATCCCCAAACAGAAAAGGACTATATTCCAATTTATTTCTTTCAACAATGTTTCCTAGTTTCTACTTGGGATTTTTATCTCAAACCTCTCAAATAATGGGTTTATTTATTTGAAATCACGTTGTTGAAAGAATTTTAAATAAAAATCTTTCCTCTGAGATGGATGATGATGACTAGGAAATTCATCCCCATGTTCCCATTTATGGGAAGTGAGGGGATCACCCTGCATGGGCAACAGTACACGAGCTATGGAAGCTCATCCTCCACTGCTGAAATGTTTAATCTGAGATTACAATGAGCGTCCTTCTCTTTTTTTCTCATTTATTCCACATGGAATGTGGTAATTATCAAGTTTTATCTCCAAGCTCAAAGCCAGACACAAAGTTTGAGTGCTCTGCATGTTAAAAAGAACTATGTGGACTTTACAGCTCCTTCCATTCCTGAAATTCTACGGTTCATCCTTTCCGGCAGACACAACAAACAATTTCCAGTCCCACGTACACAATCTAAAAAAAAAAATTGGGGAGGGCCAGCGCGCATGCTCAATACTCAAGCCAGCCAGCCTGTCCCACAGCCAGTTGTTTCTGCGCCTGCGTACGGGAGACTCCTCGCCCAGTTTGCGGGCGGGAAGCAACCTGGAGAACCCGGATGGAACCCGGGCCTGGCTGGTTAGGAGTTTGTTGCGGATGCTTCTCTCTCCAAGCGCACCGCAGATTCCTATTCGAGGGTGGGACCTGAGGAACCATCGCCGGCCTAGACTGGTTCCGACGGCGAGACGCTGGGCCCTAGACTGAGCGGAGAGCGGAACTGGAGCCTGAAACGGGCGCTCGAAAGAAGCCCGAGCATCCCTTGGGCCTGCGTCTCAGGCTCGGAGACCGGCGGGCGGAGACCGCACTGAGTCTTTTCTTTCCTCGCCGCTGGCGTTCTTAGCTCACCCAGGAGGCTCTAAAAATCTGCGTCCTTAACAGTAATACCACCAGGCCCTATCAATTAAGAGCTGCTTGTTGTTTGCATGTATTCTTAAAATTAAACCTCCCAACAACCCTGTAAGGTAGGTACTCTTATCCCCTCTGGAGGAACTGAGGCTTGGAAAGGTCCCAGCTTGTAAGCGACAAAGTCACGATCCCAGGCGTTTGCCCCTGGAGCGTCTGCCCAGCCACCAAGTTCCTGCCCGCTTTCTCCTGGCTCTCAATTTTATCTAAAACGTAATGGTTAAATGCTCTGCCTCCCGGAACACCTGCGCCTACCATGGCCTTGCATACGCAGTGGTTAGATGGAAGTTGAATTATATTTGGTTTGGAGTTTTAGGTTTACAACTGCACTTTGGTGTTTTCTATGTATATTAGCATTCCCTAATTGCTTTGTGAGTGTTCACTTTTAACTGATTTTTCTCAGTTGTGATGCTTTTTCGTATCTACCCTTCATAAACTTGCAAAAACATTTTACTTTGTTATATCAGATCTAAGCATCTGAAGATAATCTCTCAAAAGAATCATTCTTAAAAATGAATGATGCCTATTTTTAAATAATGCTTTTTATTTTTTTTTATTATTGGAAGTTTCCAACATGCATAAAAATAGGAACAGTGTAATGATGTGTACCCATCATTCAGCTTCAAAAGTTACCAACTTAAGGCCAGTCATTTCTTTTATTTCCACCCCAATTTGTGCATGTTTGTGAATGTATGCTGAAGTACAGTACTTCAAAAGAAATCCCAGACATCTTATCATTTCAGTTGTAAATAATTGTATCTAACAAATAAGGTATTTTAAAAACACAACCACAATACCATTATCAGGCCTGTTTAACCATAATTCCTTATGATGATGATGCTTTTTTAATGTTTACATTTTTTGGGATATTGTAATTCCTAAATACCACAAAAGCGCAAGTGCAGATTGTAAGGTTCTAAAAACACAAGCCTCTTGGGCAGTAAGTTCATCTTTGAGGCTCTTGAAAATTCTTGCCATCTATTCTCCCATTTTTGAGGGGGCTGGAGAAGAATACTATAAATTGATTTTCCTAAAACTTCTTTTGTACATAACAGATAAATTTTAAAATATATTTGAGATACATAGTCAAAGTGGATAGGAATGGACTCTTAACAGATTTTGTAACGATTTCCAGTTCTATTTTGTTTGTTATGTTTCTGAGACCGTCTCACTCTATCACCCAGGCTGGAGAGTGCCGTGGCGTCATCTCAGCTCACTGCAACCTCCGCCTCCCAGGTTCAAGTGATTCTCCGGCCTCAGCCTCCCGAGTAGCTGGGATTACAGGAGCCCGCCACCATGTCCAGCTAATTTTTGTATTTTTAATAAAGACAAGGTTTCATCGAGTTGGCCAGGCTGGTCTTGCACTCCTGACCTCAGGTGATCCACCCGCCTCGGCCTCCCAAAGTGCTGGGATTACGGGTGTGAGCCACCGTGCCTGGCCTTTTTTTGAGACGGAGTCGGCTCTCTCACCCAGGCTGGAGTGCAGTGGCATGATCTCAGCTCACTGCAACCTCCGCCTCCTGGGTTCAAGCAATTCTGCCTCAGCCTCCCGAGTAGCTGGGATTACAGGCGTGCGCCACTACATGCAGCTAATTTTTGTATTTTTTTTTTTTTCAGACGGGGTTTCACCATGTTGGTCAGGCTGGTCTTGAACTCCCGACCTCAGGTGATCTGCCCGCCTTGGCCTCCAAAGTGCTTGGATTACAGGCATGAGCCACCATACCCGTCCAATTTTTGTATTTTTAGTAGAGATGGGGTTTCACTATGTTGGCCAGCCTGGTCTGGAACTCCTGACCTCAAGTGATCCGCCTACTTCGTCCTCCCAGAGTGCCTCCCCACCACGCGGGGTCCCTCTTGTAATGATTTCTTTTTTTTTTTTTTTTAAAGACGGGGTTTTACCATGTTGGTCAGGCTGGTCTTGAATTCCCGACCTCAGGTGATCCGCCCGCCTTGGCCTCCAAAGTGCTTGGATTACAGGCATGAGCCACCACGCCTGCCTCTTGTAATGATTTCTAATGTGACTAAAAAGATTTACCTTTATTCCCTCTGCCTCCCCAAATATACATGATAAGTATGCATTAATAGAATACAGAAAAATAAGCATTTTACGGTAATGTTGTAATTTTATTAATTAGAAGTGGTTCTAAGCAAAAGTAGCCATGTAGTCTCATTACTTGACAAAAGAAGGCTTAAGATCAGCTCCTTAAACTTCAGGTTGTCTTTTTTGGTTGACAGTCAACCTCCAATTTAACAGGCTTATAACAACCATGTAACAGGTCAGCTTAATAGTTTTATTGGAGTACATTTTACAACTATTTCATCTTGGTAGATCCACTTGAAAGCTAATGCTTTAAGTAGATACTCTTGGCTTACTTGTGATATTTCTTTTAATGGCCAAAGTAGGCATTCAGATTTAAATGTGTACCTGTTACTTTATTTCAGCCACATTCTCTGGCCCAGAACTTTGGAAATTTTGGGATCACTTATTTATCTTGGACATAGAATGTTTTCTAAGGTATATTTGAGCCTACCTGTGGATTATGCCTTTACTCGTTTCTAAAGAGAAAGAGAAAAGACATGGCTTTCAATTTTAGTTGTTAACTTTCATAAGAGGCTGCCATCAACTCAGAAAATGTAGAAAAATTAAATATCTATTAAAACATTTGGACCATTCACTTGGGAACCTAGAATGTTTGTTAGCTAGGGATTGGTCTGAAGGATGTTTTTATTCCCCTAAATCTGACTACTTAACCAGGAGGTGTTTCAGGATCGCCTGGACAACATCATTTCATATTGTTTTGTTCTGCTTCTGGAGAAGATGATTTATTAGTTCTAAGGTAGTGCAGAGACATGTATACTTTTAAAGGGGTTCCCAGTGATTGTGATGATACCGTATCTCTTGTCACAGATCACTGTTCTAGTTACTATTTAAAAGAATTATCTAAAATACTTAATTTAGAATACAGATTCTATGCCCCTACTCCATAACTAGAGAATCAGAATCTCTATTCAGATAGGACCTTCTACATCCTATCGTTGGGTTAAACAAAACCTTAGGAATGCTGCTTATTTTTAATGTGTGTTTGTGTGTGTTCTTTCTTAACTGCTTTTACTGAGAGGTATTTAGATGGAAAAGCATCATGAAATTCCTTATTGTACTTAAGGATGTTCTCATATGAGAGGGATTTTTCTGAAGTCTCGGTAGCAAGAATAGTGTTTCTCCTGAGCAAGTAAGTTGTTTTCTTTTTTTCTTTTTTTTTTGACAGACTTTGTCGTGTAAGCTAGAGAGCAGTGGCACGATCTTGGCTCAGTAGTTGGGACTACAGGTGTATGCCACTATGCCCAGCTATTTTTTGTATTTTTAAGAGAGACAGGGTTTCACCATGTTGCCCAGGCTGGTCTCGAACTCCTAAGCTCAGGCAGTCCGCCCACCTTGGCCTCCCAAAGTGCTAGATTATAGGCATCAGCCACTGCTCCCAGCCTATTCACTGATTCTTAACTGAGGGTGTGCATACATATTTGAAGCCGAATGGAAGGAGGTAGTAGTAGTGAGATGCCCTTTCCAGGGTTACAAAATGCGCTAGATTTGTTTGTAGCATACGTTATTGAAAACAAGTTAGGCCATACCTGTAATTCACCAATAAATAACTTGTCTAAGCTCAAATTTCCCGCATATAATTTACTAGCAAATCATTTATTCCAAGACTTTAGCTATGAGTTGCTAGCTTTAAGTTGAACTATATCCTGTCTTGGCTTACTTCTAATTGGCATGCTGCAGGCTATATCTTGGCATGTACAAAATAGCATGTGATGACAAAATAGCATGTGATATGGCTTTATTTTAATTCAGTTAGCCAGTAGTTTTTAATGTGTGGGTTGTATTTTACTCCCAAAGCAAAATTCTGTGGCATCTCTGGAATACTACCTGAGAATTTTTGTGTGCCATGTCGAAGAAACGCAAATGGGATGATGACTATGTTCGCTACTGGTTCACCTGTACAACAGAAGTTGATGGAACTCAGCGCCCACAGTGTGTGTTGTGTAACTCAGTATTTTCAAATGCTGATCTCAGACCATCAAAACTGTCAGACCATTTTAACAGACAGCATGGTGGTATAGCTGGGCATGATGTCAATAGCCTGAAGCATATGCCCACACCATCTGATCAGAGTGAAACCTTGAAAGCATTTGGAGTTGCATCTCATGAGGATACTTTATTACAAGCATCATATCAATTTGCGTATTTATGTGCCAAGGAGAAGAATCCTCATACAATAGCCGAAAAGTTAGTGAAACCTTGTGCACTGGAAATAGCACAAATAGTTTTGGGACCAGATGCACAAAAGAAGCTTCAGCAGGTACCCTTATCAGATGATGTGATTCATTCTAGAATTGATGAAATGAGCCAAGATATCTTACAGCAAGTTCTAGAAGATATCAAAGCCAGTCCTCTTAAAGTGGGCATTCAGCTTGCTGAGACAACTGACATGGAGGACTGCAGTCAGCTAATGGCATTTGTGCGGTATATAAAAGAAAGAGAGATCATAGAAGAATTTCTCTTCTGTGAACCATTGCAGCTATCCATGAAAGGAATAGATGTGTTCAATCTCTTCAGAGACTTCTTTCTGAAGCATAAGATAGCACTTGATGTATGTGGCTCTATTTGTACTGATGGTGCCTCCTCTATGCTAGGAGAAAATTCTGAGTTTGTTGCCTATGTGAAAAAAGAGTTACCTCATATCGTGATCACACATTGTTTATTGAACCCTCATGCACTTGTCATAAAGACATTGCCTACAAAACTGAGGGATGCTCTGTTTACTGTGGTGAGGGTAATAAATTTCATCAAAGGGAGAGCTCCAAATCATCGCCTGTTTCAGGCTTTCTTTGAAGAAATTGGCATAGAATATAGTGTCCTCCTTTTCCATACTGAAATGAGGTGGCTTTCCCGAGGCCAGATACTTACTCATATTTTTGAAATGTATGAAGAAATAAATCAGTTTCTTCACCATAAAAGCAGTAATTTGGTTGATGGCTTTGAAAATAAAGAGTTTAAAATTCACCTAGCATACCTTGCAGATTTATTCAAACATTTAAATGAACTCAGTGCATCTATGCAAAGGACTGGGATGAACACAGTATCAGCTAGAGAGAAGTTATCTGCTTTTGTTAGAAAGTTTCCATTTTGGCAAAAACGAATTGAGAAAAGAAATTTTACCAATTTTCCTTTTCTTGAAGAAATAATTGTTTCAGATAATGAAGGAATATTCATTGCAGCTGAAATAATACTGCATCTGCAGCAATTGAGCAACTTCTTTCATGGCTATTTTTCCATTGGAGATCTTGATGAGGCAAGTAAATGGATACTGGATCCATTTCTTTTTAATATTGATTTTGTTGATGATAGTTATTTAATGAAAAATGATCTTGCTGAATTACGAGCTAGTGGCCAAATCCTAATGGAATTTGAGACAATGAAGCTTGAGGATTTCTGGTGTGCTCAATTCACAGTGTTTCCAAACCTGGCAAAGACAGCTCTAGAAATCCTTATGCCATTTGCAACTACATACCTTTGTGAGTTGGGATTTTCATCACTTTTACATTTCAAAACAAAGTCCAGAAGCAGCTTTAATCTGAGTGATGATATCCGTGTGGCTATTTCAAAAAAAGTTCCTCGTTTTTCAGACATCATTGAACAAAAGCAGCAGCTACAGCAGAAGTCAATGTAAGCTGATATACTTTTTAAATGTGTAATTTTAAACAATATCATAAAATTAAGCTGTAATTCTGTTTCTTTCCATTCATATTTATGATACACTGAATTCTATGTTTGAAAAAATTTAATGACTTTAACTTTGAATGAGGCATGTGAAAGTGTGTTTTGAGAATAAAAACACAAACAGCAGAAAAGATGAAGTACTACTGCCTAGTTGCTATCATGAGATTTTCCTAATTCTGAGTTGCTGTTTAACCTGTTTATGAGGTATGTAAAAAAGATACCTAAACACTAGAATATCCAGTTAAATGGTACAATAAGCCAGGAATTGAGCCAGGAGAAAAGAAAAGACTTCCCAGAAGTCAAAAAGGCAAAATGACAGATTGAGTTCACCCATCTTTGTTATGAAGAAGCTAATGAAATCAGAAGAGAATTATGAAATATAATGGGAAAAGGAATGATCTGGCTTGTATAAGAGTTATTTTAATATACTCTTTGGAGTTAGTCTCACAATGTCCATTCCTATAGCTCCTGTGTTATGAATATTAATAAATAGCCGAATATATTAGTCACTGTTTGTCATCTTTAAATTACTTCAGAACTCCAAGTTATCAAGACTGCTGAAAAGGAGATTCCTGAGCCTTACCCTAAAGATTCTGATTAGCAGGTCTGTGATAAGGTCAAGGATCCTCATTTGTAACCAGCTTTCGTAACTAGATTTCCTACATAGAAATCTATGTAGGCCAGGTAAGGTGGCTCATGCCTGTAATTCCAGCGCTTTGGGAGGCCAAGATGGCAGATCACGATGTCAGGCATCCGAGGCCAGCCTGGCTAACATGGGGAAACCCCATACTTACTAAAAATACAAAAATAAGCCGGGTGTGGTGGCGCGTACCTGTAATCCCAGCTACTCAGGAGGCTGAGGCAGGAGAATCACTTGAACCCAGGAGGCAGAGGTTGCAGTGAGCCAAGATAGTGCCGCTGCCCCCCCAGCCTGGGCGACAGAGGGAGACGCCATCTTTTTTTTTGAGACTCTATCTCAGATAATTACTTTTATATTTTATTTTAAGGTCATTGATAAATTTTGAAAAGGAATATAAATAGAATAAAGACATAATCTTCATGGCCAGCAGATGTCACTCTCTGTGTGGCTTTGAATGAAAGCAGCTTTACTCTCATTACAGATTTTGCCAAATAGCTGATTTGAAACATCACTAGAAAAGATGCTAGTGGCTCAAATTTAAAATGCCCCAGCTGAGCCTCTGTGGACCCAAAATTGACAGGCAGAACTCTGGTGGAGCCAGTAACCTCCAGACTACAAGAAATCACTGAGAAACACAGGTGAGAAAGAGAAAATATAAGTGACTTTTTCTGTAATACTGACAAGCATGTGGATTTTTGGCATCCTCACTGTTGGTCTAAGTCACCAAAAGCTACTTAAAGTTAGTGACTGATAGGTCAGCATTTTTGGGCACGAACCAATTGTAATCAAAACCAAATAGACTTATACTTTTAAATAGTGAACTTGATGATACCTGAATTTTATCTCAGTTTTATTTTATTTTTTGAGACAGAATCTCACTCTGTCGTCCAGGCTGGAGAGCAGTGGTGTGATCTTAACTTACTGCAATCTCCACTCCTGGGTTCAAGAGATTGTCCTGCCTCAGCCTTCCGAGTAGCTGGGATTACAGGCGCCCACCACTGCATCTGGCTAATTTTTGTATTTTTAGTAGAGATAGGGTTTCATCATGTTTGCCAGGCTAGTCTTGAACTCCTGACCTCAAGCGATCCACTCCCAAAGTGCTAGGATTATAGGCGTGAGCTATCAAGCCCAGCCTCAATTTTTAAAAATAGGCTCTGAGGCCAGGTGCAGTGGCTCACACCTGTAATCCCAGCACTTTGGGACGCTGAGGGAAGAAGGCTGCTGAGGGCAGGAGTTCAAGACCAGCCTGAGCAACATATCAAGACCCTGTCTCTACAAAAAATAAAAGTAGCTGAGCATTGTAGCACATGTCTGTAGTCCAGCTACTGGAGCGACTGAGGCAGGAGGATTGCTTGAGCCCAAAAGATTGAGGCTGAAGTTGGCCATGATGGTCCCACAGTACTCTAGCCTAGGTGACAGAGTGAGACACTCTGAAAAAAAAAAAAAGACTGGTCACAGTGGCTCACAGCTGTAATTCCAGCACTTTGGGAAACTGTGGCAGGAGGATCACTTGAGCCCAGGAGCTTGAGACCAGCCTGGCCAAGAAAGTGAAACGCTGTCTACAAAAATTAGCCTGGTTTGGTGGCCTACACCCATAGTCCTAGCTACTTAGGAGGCTGAAATAGGAGGATCACTTGAGCCCAGGAGGTGGAAGCTGCAGTGAGCTGTGAATATGCCACTGCACTCCGGCCCAGGCAACAGAGTGAGACCCTATGTCAAAAAAAAAAAAAATTAGATACAATGGGCATGGCTTTAATATCTGCCAGGCATTTAGAAACATCGAATTTGAAGCTTTCAATGTCTACCTTAATTTGAAGGGCAGTATAAGGTTATTGCCTATTGTAATTTGTACTTATAAGAAAAAAGAGAGACCTCAGGTTATTTTACTTTTGTTTTACAAATTTGCCATAAATCTTACTATAATTCAGCAATGGATTTGAGTCCTATTTCGCTACTTACTAATTGTATAAACTTTGTAGTTCTTGGCATATAGGAATCGAGATCTGACAGTCTGATCATCTTGTTTTGACCTGCTTAAGATTCATTCATTAACTTGCTTCTTTTAATAGTAACACCCTGATTTTTCTTGAGGAACTGTTTTCCTCCCACTATCAGCCCGTATGACCCCCTCCTGGCTGGTTAGCTCTGGTACCTTTGCTGGAATTAATGGGGAAGATGCTATACATGCTAAACTAATAGGATATGTCTGGACTTCCAGTGGTCAGTTTTGCTACCTGTATTAGGGTTCTTCAGAGATTCAGAACAAATAAGATGTATGTACATGTAAAAGGGATTTTATTAGAAAGAATTGGCTCACCTGATAACAAGGCAAAGTCCCACGATAGGCCATATGCAAGCTGGGAATGAGAGAAGCCAGTAGGGATTCAATCTGAAAGCCTCAAAACTGGGGAAGCTGACAGTGCAGCCTTAAGTCTGTGGCCAAAGGCCCTAGAGTCCCTGGCAACCCACTGGTGTAAATCCAAGAGTCCAAAGGCCAAAGAAACTGCAGTCTGATGTCCACGGGCAGGAGGGGCAGGAGGAGCAGGAGGAAGCATTCAGCATGGGAAAAAGAAGGAAGCGAAGAGATGCAGCATGCAAAAGCTATCCTACCTTCTGACTGCTTTGTTTTAGCAGAGAACAAATGTAAGCTATAAATGCTTACATCAAAAAGAAAAGTCACCTGGGTGCAGTGGCTCATGCCTATAATCCCAACACTTTTGGAGGCCAAGGCAGTTGGACCACCTGAGGTCAGGAGTTCAAGACCAGCCTGACCAACATGGTGAAACCTTATCTCTACTAAAAATACAAAAATTAACTGGGCGTTGTGGCAGGCACCTGTAATCCCAGCTATTCAGGAAGCTGAGACAGGAGAATCGTTTGAACCCAGGAGGCAGAGGTTGCAGAGAGCCAAGATCGCACCATTGCACTCCAGCCTGGGCAGCAGGGTAAAACTTTGTCTCAAAAAAAAAAAAAAGAAAAGAAAAGTCAATAACCTAAACTTCCACCTAAAGAAACTAGAAAAGTAAGAGCAAACTAAAAGCAAGTAGAAGGAAGGAAATAATAAAGATTAGAGGGAAATAAATGAAACTGACAAACAATAGAGAAAATCATAGAAATTAACAGTTGGTCCTTTGAAAATATTAACAAAATTCAGAAACCTTAAGTTAGACTGACCTAGGAAAAGCAGGAATGAAAGAGAGGACGTTACTACCAACCTTACAGGATCGAAGGAAATATTTTGAACAATTGTATACCAACAAATTAGATAACCTAGATGAAATGGAAAAATATAAAAGGCACAAACTCCCAAAACTGACTCAAGAAAAAACAGAAACTGAATAGACCTATAAAAAGTAAAAAGATCAAGTCAGTAATCCAAAAAAATCCAAGGAATTAGGGAAAGTCTTAGGACCAGATGGTTTCGCTGTCATCTGATGAATTCTACCAATATTAAAAGAACACCAGTCCTTCACAAATTCTTCCAAAAAATTGAAAAGGGAGGAACCCTTACCTCATTCCGTAATATCAAACCAAACAAGCAACATCACAAAACTACACACCAGTATTCCTTATGAAAATTGAAAAGGGAGGAACACTTACCTCATTATGTAATGTCAAACCAAACAAATAACATCGCGAGAAAATGACAGACTAGTATTCCTTATTAATATGCTTATAAAAATCCTCAATAAAATACTAGCAAACTCAATCCAACAACATATAAAAACAATTATACATTATGACAAAGAGATTTATTCCAAGAATGCAGGGTTGGTTCAATGTGAAAGCCAACCAGTACAATACATCAAACTAATAGAATAAAGGAAACCACATGATCATTTCAACAGACATAGGAAAAAACACTTGACAAATACAATATCCTTTAATTAAAAAAAACAAAACTAGAAATAGAAGGAGACTTCCCCAACTTGATAAGCCTTTATAAAAAACTCACAGCTAACATACTTAGTGGTGAAAAAAAGCCTTTCCCACAACATCAGGAAAAGACAGTACTGTCTACTCTCACCACTTGTTTGTTTTTTTGAGACAAGGTCTCGCTCTGTTGCTCAGGCTGGAGTGCAGTGGCACAATCATGGCTTACTGCAGCCTCCACCTCCCAGGCTCAAATGATCCTTCAGCCTCCTGAGTAGCTGCAACCACAGGCACACACCACCGTGGTATTGCCCAGGCTAGTCTCAAACTCCTTAGCTCGAGCATTCCGCCTGCCTCAGCCTCCCAGAGTGCTAGTATTACAGGTGTGAGCCACTGTTCCCAGCCACCACTTGTATTTAACACTGTACTTGGAGGTTCTAGGCAGGACAATTAGGCAAGAAAAAGAAAAAGAAGAATTACTTTTTATTACCATTTGTTATTCGACATAGAAGCTCTAAGAGGTGTACTCAGAGCACCCACTGGTGTCCCAGACATAGTCTTTCTTGCTGCCATTGTGTAGCAGCAACCCAGTTTCTCCTTGGTAATCATAATTGATTGCCCTAGCCAGTAAAGTGTTTCCATTCTCTGCCTGTTGGTTCATTGACATAAGCCCAGCACTAATGGTGATAGACAGAATTCAATTGCCGAATAATAGGACCCAAAATGACAGAACTATAATTTATTACAGGAAAAGGACATAGTATATAGCATCAGCATTGAAATACAGATATGTATCATAGCTAAAGGCTGCCTCATACAAAGAGGTCGAGAGGACAGTTTTGAGCACTAAGTGTCAGCGCCTGTGGTAGGCAGAAAAGTGGTCCGTCAAAGATGTCAGCATACTTATCCCTGAAACCTGTGCATGTGTTACTTTATATGGCAAAAAAGGACTTTGCAAATTTGATTAAGTGAAATATGTTGAGACGGGAAGA